TTTTTTAAGAGACAGGGTCTCACTTTGTTGCCCAGGCTGGTTTCAAATTCCTGGCCTCAAGTGATCCTCCTGCCTTGGCCTCCCAAAGTACTGGAATTACAGGTGTGAGCCACCATGCCTGGCCAGATTTTTCTACTTCTAATCCAGCTACTGTGAAAGCACTAATATAGAAGTTGTTATTTTTTTAAAGATCTTACTGTATTTTGTTTGCTCTAATTTTTCTTTCTCATGCTTCATTGTCATTATCTAATAAGTAAAATAACTATCAATTACCAAACATTAAAAAATGCCTATTGGCCAGGCATGGTGTCTCACTCCAGTAATAGAGGCTGGGGTGGGTGGATCACTTGAGGTCAGGAGTACAAGATCAGCCTGGACAACATGGCAAAACCCCGTCTCTACAAAAAATATAAAAATTAGCCAGACGTGGTGGCACACACCTGTAATCCCAGCTACTCGAGAGGCTGAGGCACAAGAATCACTTGAACCCAGAAGGTGAAGGTTACAGTGAACCAAGTTTGTGCCACTGCATTCCAGCCTGGGCAACAGAGCAAGACTCCATCTCAAAAAAAAAAATAAAAAAAAAAAAAAAAAAAAAGTGCCCATGAATATGAAATAGATATTTATAAAGGATTCTGAGGAGCTTAGAATATGCTAAACTGTCCTAATTATCTGTGGCAATAGCCTCAGGATATGTGTGTTTCCACCTTAAACATACCACATTTTACCAACAAGAACCACTATCTCAAACAGAACTGTTTTCCTTTTTCTTTTTTTTCTTTTTTTGAGACGGAGTCTCACTCTGTTGCCAAGCTGGAGTGCAGTGGCGTGATCTCGGCTCACTGCAACTTCCAACTCCTGGGTTCAAGTGATTCTCCTGCCTCAACCTCCCAAGTAGCTGGGACTACAGGGGTGCACCACCACGCCCAGCTAATTTTTGTACTTTTTTTTTTTTTTTTAATAGAGACGAGGTTTCACCATGTTGGCCAGGATGGTCTCAGTCTCTCAACCTCGTGATCTGCCCACCTCAGCCTCCCAAAGTGCTGGGATTGCAAGCATGAGCCACTGCACCCAGCCAGAACTCTTGTTTTTCTAAGACGAAGTTACATAAAAGTATGCAATGAGATATAAATATGTATCAAAATTTATCTATTTTGCTTCTTAAAAAGAGTTATTAAAATATGCTAGGCCAAGTGCAATGGCTCACACTTGTAATCCCAATAATTTGGGAGGCTAAGGAGGGAATATCGCTTGAAGCCAGGTGTTCGAGACTAGCCTGGGCAACATAAATGAGACCCTGTCTTTCTATAAAAATTTTGAAAGTTAAAATTAAATAAAAATGTGTTTCATCATACTACCTTTGTTTATTAGAAGCTATCACCTTCGTAATACTATACCTGCGGATGTTCCAAATGAGAACACGAGTGCCTTTTTTGCCTGGGATGGCATCAAACTGGGCCAGCAGGTCATTTTCACTGTTGAAAATGGAATAGTTCAAGATGGCTTCTAGGCTGGGCAATGAATCCTCGGTAATAATCATTTTTTGTAAAATCAAATATAGTCAAAGAAAAAAATAGTATCTTAGGATGCTATTGAGAAGGAAGATCTGCCCTTTGGGTTGCATATTTAGACAAAACTACAGACATAAAGCATGCATATTACTGCTATAGAAAGAAGAAAGGTGAAAAATGGAGAAAAGTTATAGAGACAAGCTCCAAAATCAGTTGCCCATGCAGAATAAAGCTTCAAAGATATATCTTGTATATCTTCAAAGACTATGTAAACAAAGTCTTATATTTAAAAGCAAAGATCAAAGGCTTAAATTTTTAACTTCTTTGGAAGCAATAAGTTAAAACCTTATTGCTATACTGTTCCAGTCAAGACAACCAGGTGTCTAACAGAAGTAACAGCTGTGCAGATATAGGGAAATGACTATTCTGCTATTATATAAGCTGATAAACAGTATATTTCTAGGCGTATCAATACAAATGTAGCTATCCTTTGGAGGGGGGAAAAAAGGCAGGCCCCGGGAGCTTTACCATGGGGTGGTGGTAGAGCAGACACATACTATATAGATCAAACTGTGTAACAATGAAAATTTCAATACAGCAAAAACATTTCTAAGCTTCTGTCAATGGTCTTATTTTTTAAATATTTAATACAGAAAAATCCCAGTTAAATTTAAGACATTTGAATACCTCTTTTAAAACTTCTGATAGTTGGATTTGACCTGAAGAGGTTCCTATCAAAACACTCAGATTAGACTAATTTTTAACCAACATTCTCCATTTCCAGAAAGGATATTGTTTTGCTGGTTGAATGGAACAATTGGTACAATAACTGCCTGGGCCTGGACACATTCCAGATAGGTCTGTGATAGAAGTCCAACAGTGAGAGTACCCCCATTCTTGGTGAAGACAAGGGCGTCCTTTCCTAGCCGCATGGAGCCTGACTTGAAACCATTACCAAAGACCCCAATGGGACACTGGCTCTTCTTTATTACTTTATCTGTAAAGCCAAAGCTGCAATTACAGAAGAAAAAACAAATCAGAAAAAAAGAAATCAGAATGGTAAAAAGCATCCTAAGATAGGTGACAGGCAGAATATTTGGCCTACAAATAAATAGCACTTGTAAAAAGTCCCTCCTTTTTTATTCCTTTTGGTATTTATGGGCAAAACTATTAGGTTAAAAACACAGGAAATTACTATGGGGTAATGGGATTAATTTTTCTGTGTGGTTTGTGTGTACATAAATAGTTCCATTACGTTAGAGTCACACTTTATAAAAGTAAAAAACGGCCCCGTTCCACCAGCTAACATAGCTGGAAAAGGCTTGGGAAGCTGCCTTTCCTGTCTAGATAAAACAGCTCTGATTGCTGTAGAAGCAAAGTTAGGGTAAGGTGAAAAGGGTGGTTATCTAGAGAGGGTAACAAAAGTTTCAGATATTGTCATTGGTCAGAGGTACTAGATTAGGCATCTCCTAACCTGTTTATATCATCCTCTAGAAATCTGAAAGTCAGGGATCATATATCTTGACAATTTCAACTCTCCACTCAAAGGATAATCCTTCCAATTCTTAGTCTCTGTTCCATCTGCTGGGACAGTTCATTGGAATGTGGCCAAAGGATAAAAATAGGTAGTTCTGCCTCTGAATATCAGCAAACAGCTGCAGTATAAAGTCTCTCTTGCTCTATTAAGGACCTTTCACTTAGGCACCTCAACAATCTCTGTAGTCCATTTTGATCAGCTTAATCTGGAAGCCAGAACCTTTCCCTTTCTTGTATTTTCCATTCAGGTACACACCAAAATAACAGAACTTTAAAAACTAAAAATTAAATGATTACATATCTTCCCTCATCATCAATAAAACTAATTGTAAGGATTGTTTCTCAGGATGAGAAGGAGAAATGAATAGTTTGGTGAATGAGTACAAAACTTATAGTTAGATAGAAGAAAAAAGTTCTAATGTTCCATAGCCCAGGGTGACTATAATTAGCAATAATACATCATATATTTCAAAGTAGCTAGAAAAGAGGACTTCCAATGTCACCAACATATAAATTCTCAAGGTGATGGAAACCCCAAACACCCTCACTTGATCACTGCACATTCTATGCATGTATAAAGTATTCACATGTACCCCATAAATATGTAAAATATTAGGTATCAATGAAAGAAAAAAAAACATACTAAAAAGGATTGTTTCTCTCCAGACTGACTAATTTTACAATGTTGTGCACTACCATTCATTCAATAAATATTTAAACTAAGCACCTACGATGTGCCATGCATTGGGCTAAGCACTAGAGACAATTGTTAATAAAAGACATGATTTTTGCCTTCAGAGTTTATAATCTAAGGAAGGACTTCATATATTACAGATTAGGTGCTTCTCAACATCAATAAAATAGATACTCTGAGCAGACCATGACTGAGCAGGCTGATCTTTAACAATTTTACTCTTTTGAGCATGGAGAGCTGAGGTATCTGATTTCTACTTCCTGAAGGCTATGGTTTTGTGTTTACTCACTAGGAAAGGGAACCACCTTTTAATTTGCTATTTCAAAGCATTATACAGTAATACCATATGTCCTCCTAGAGTAAACACTTTATAGGAGCTGTGTGTATCGCACAAATAAATCTAGTGACAGAAAAAGGTAATTTCCACGGCAGCAGTCTGTTGGAAAAAAAAAAAAGAATATTCAGTCTGTGTTGCCTATGGGCCTTAGTATTCCAGGATATAGACTTGTAATAGTAAGATTCAGGCATTCCCATTCTTCTTGTGGAAGAATTGGCTTTTAAAAAAAAAAGTTTGTTATGAGGATTAAATTATATACTGTATGCAAAATACATTAAGTATAAAGTAGTATTCAAACATTAATTTTAAACTAACTCTAGAAGTCATTCTGATAGTTGTCATGTGCTATCCCGTACTTCTACTTCAGACCTAAGATCACATCTAAAACTCAGGGCTCTTCATAAATAGTAATCTTACACACCACTTCAAATGAATTTGTATGGTTAACCGGACTTTAACTTTCTCTTATACCACAAAAGCTTCAATTAGGTGATCAAGGGGAAGTGGTGAAAATAGGGAGATTACAACTCCCTTAATTTTTTAGCCTCTTCCACCATCTATCACCTCTTTTTCCCTTTGAAAGTATAAACCCTCACTGTGTTAATTTGGGGAGACCAAATGATGATACAAGGTTGAGAAGATAACCAGTAGCGTGAGGCTAGAACCAGAATGGAAAAGGATAAGAAAAATGAGAAGAGAGGAGCTGTAAACTCTGGATTTTTGTTGTTGTTACTGTGTTTCACTTAACTCTTCCTGTGTGCTCTTTTATTCCACCTAAGTTCTCATGTTAGGCATTCCATTTAAATGCAAACTGGCAGAATGAATGCCAGGTACCAATCAAATAACTACCTAATACAAAAGCCCTCACCACACATAATAGAATTGTAGGAATGAATATGATAGTTTGCTATAGCTCAGTAATATTTTCCACAGAGCTAACTTGGCTCAGATGGTTTCTATTTGCTAAGTCAGTCCTGCTGTATCCTCTCATGTAAGAGACAACACTGTTTACACATCAATGTGGCTTGGATACCAGCACTTTTAGTGGAATTCAAAACTACAGTAGCTTGCTCTGGAGTATCTTAAAACGTCAAGAATCCAGAATCCAGAGAGGTAAATTTAAATTGGGACTCTGCAGTGACACGTGTTTACCTATGTAACGAATCCTCACGTGTACCTCCAAACCAAATACAAAAGTTAAGAAAAATAATAGATAAATAAATAAATAAATAAATAAGGACTCTGACCAATGAAACAAACCTTGGCAAAATCCATGGGCGCACAAAGGCAGGCACTGCTATTTCCTAGGTATTTTTGTGATTTAATATGTAATATAAAAGAATGAAAGCGTGCTAAGCAGACTGTTATTCTCCAGCTATTGTTTTAGAAGAATACACCTGCTAGGAAGTGCACTTCTGAGCACAGGTAGCAAATACCCTCTGTGGTTCTGTGGCTGTTTTTAGTCTTTGAACTTTGAAAGCGGTTTCTCACCTTGCTTGAAAAAGGCAGCTGAATATACAGACTAACTGATCCACACACTAGCCCCAGAAGGTAAAGATAATTAGTTGTGGACCTTAAAGGAATTTAATAATAGGTTTTTCCTTTTTAATTTGATTTTCATGAAATTCTATGTTTATGGAAGAAACTGTTGCTACAGTTACACAACTATTTTATCAGTCTGAAAACAGAATTGCATAAAGAGTTGGAAAGTGTGGACAGGGTAATAACAAATGTTAGAGGTCAAATAGAACTTCTGTAGGCTTAATAAATTTGCATAATTACTTCTATTATTTTTTCCAAATACAAAAGTAATATGCCTTCAAATAAAAAACAGCGCCAGGCACGGTGGCTCACACCTGTAATCCCAGCACTTTGGGAGGCCGAGGCGGGTGGATCACTTCAGGTCAGGAGTTTGAGACCAGCTGACCAACATGGTGAAACCTTGTCTCTACTAAATATACAAAATTAGCCGGGCATGGTGGCGCATGCCTATAATCCCAGCTACTTGGGAGGCTGAAGCAGGAGAATCACTTGAATCCGGGGGGCAGAGGTTGCAGTAAGCCAAGATCGCACCATTGCACTTCAGCCTGGGCAACAAGAGTGAAACTCCTTTAAAAACAAACAAACAAAAAAAAAACAGAATCCTTCCGGCTAGGCATGGTGGCTCATGTCTGTAATCCCAGCATTTTGGGAGGCCGAGGTGGGACCATTCTAGTTGCCAACATGGTAAAACCCCGTCTCTACTAAAAATGCAAAAATTAGCTGGGCGTGGTGGCACGCACCTGTAATCCCAGCTACTCGGGAGGCTGAGGCAGGAGAATTGCTTGAACCCAGGAGGTGGAGGTTGCAGTGAGCCGAGATCACGCCACTGTACTCCAGCCTGGCGACAGAGCAAAACTCCATCCAAAAAAAAAATGTAGAATCCTTCGCTAGAAGTTAGGATTGGACTAAATAATCTTTTATTTTTTATTTATTTATTTATTTTTGAGACAAGGTCTCCCTCTGTTGCCCAAGCTGGATTACAATGGCACAGTCTCAGCTCACTGCAACCTCTGCCTCCTGGGTTCAAGTGATCTTCCCATCTCAGCCTTCTGAGTAGCAGGGACTGCAGATGCATGCCAAAATGTTCATCTAATTTTTGTATTTTTTTTGTAAGAAGGGGGTCCCCCTGTGTTGCCCAGGCAGGTATCAAACTCCTGGACTCAGGCGATCTGCCTGCCTTGGCCTTTGGAAGTGCTAGAATTATAGACATGATCCACCATGCTTGGACTTAAATGATCTCTTTTAAATAAATGGTATCTTCACCAGGCGTGGAGGCTCATGCCTGTAATCTCAGCCCTTTGGGAGGCCATGGCGGGCTGATCACTTCGGGTCAGGAGTTCGAGACCAGCCTGGCCAACATGGTGAAACACTGTCTCTACTAAAAATGCAAAAATTAGCTAGGCGTGGCTGTACCTGCCTATAATCCCAGCTACTCGGGAGGCTGAGGCAGGAGAGGTGTGTGAACCCAGGAGGTGGAGGTTGCAGTGAGCTAAGATCATGCCGTTGCACTCCAGACTGGGGGACAAGAGTGAAACTCCGTCTCAAAAAAAATTTTTTTTAATTAAAAAAAAAGGTATCTTCTAGCTGATTCAAGTTTGTTTCAAGATACAATCACAAATAAACAAACTTGAATCAGCTAGAAGATACCTGAGATTATTTTTTAAATAGGAGGAACAATTGCCCAGCTCAAATTGGTGGGAAACATATTTGGTATGATAGGGAAAATTCTACAGCTAAGAAAGTTTCTGCCTATTTTGCTCCTTGGGGAGGGAACAAAAAATTTGAATGGGTGATACTCATCCTTCATATTTCAATTCAAATGTCATTTCTTCAGGGGAGCCTTTTTTAACTCTCTAGACTAGATTAGATCCCTGTTATATCCTCTCAAAGAAACTGTGCTCTACCTTCATAGCACTTACCACTGGGTGGAATAGCCTATTTAGTTATATTACTAGTCAATGTTGTTCTTTCTCACTAAGCTGTCAGCCAAGAATCATGTCTGTCTGGTTCACCACTTTATCTCCAGTGACTTGCACACAGGTGCTCAATAAAAATTTGTTGAATGAATAAATGAATGAATCTGGAACAAAAATTGTGGCAATTATTTTGAAACCATTCTCTCCTCCTTTCTGCCTTATAACTCTAACCAAGTTTCACAGATGTAGTCCCACAGACAAAATGGAAGAAGATCAGATTTGCTGGGCCCACTACTCAACACCCATGTCAATGGGATAAGGTAAGATGGGACAGAATCATTAATAAGATAAGCAATTTTGGATGGGTGCGGTGGTTCACGCCTGTGATCCCAGCACTTTGGGAGGCTGAGGCGGGTGAATCACTTGAGGTCAGGAGCTCAAGACCAGCCTGGACAACATGGCAAAACCCTGTCTCTACTAAAAATACAAAATTATTAGCCGGGCATGGTGGCACACACCTATAATCCCAGCTACTCGGGAGGCTGACGTATGAGAATCATTTGAACCCAGGAGGCTGGGGTTGCAGTGAGCTGAGATCACGCCACGGCACTCCAGCCTGGGTGATGGAGTGAGACTGTCTCAAAAAATAAGAAGACAAGTAATTTTAGGGGGGAAAAAAACAACTAGTACATACAGAGCTGAATATATAAATGCTTTGGTTCCATCCCATCCAAAATTGTATTTTTCTTAATATATAATAAGAAAATATATATATGTTAATAATAAGAAGAAAATATATATATTCTTAATATATAATATTAGCTTCAGGATATAAAACTGGTATTATAAGTTGAAGGATTGAGCCAACTCTCTACCTTCACTAACATACTGGTCATAATTCTTGTTTCACTTTTAGAGGTTTTCCTCAAATAGTCTTCTAATTAGGAGGGTCTGAGACACAAGGTATACAGACTGCTGAGTGGTAAAACGCAACCACTTACTTTGCCCAAATTTCATGTCTGTTTCTTTGATGGATCAAAGGGATTTCCCTACAAACAGAGTAATTCATTTAGAATACCTATAAGGGTAACTACAACCACATGAATTTATTTTCCATTTTTATAGTTCGGAGTCCTTTCCCTCCTCCACAGCACTCCTCCATTGTTACTCGTGCTTCACACACTCTAGTTCAGGAAGCCACAGGGAGAGTAATCAACCTCATCTGCTAAAAAGGAAAAGAGAAGGAAGGAGTTGAAGGAACACTCATCTTCTACTGAGTGATACGCGAAGGATGATATAGTATAAATTTACGTTCTCAACTACAAATGTTTTAAAGTGATTAAATGAACTGAGAGTGGCAACAGAAATCTAGCACCAGCTTCAACAGTTAGAAAGGAGAATTTCCTAAGTTTGTGATTCTACTGCAAAACCTTTAAAGAATATGTGTCTGAATGTCTTCTATTTATCTTGCATGGGGTTTGATTATACCCAGGCACCTTCATGGTTCCAATCAATAAATCATTCCAACTCCAATACTTCTGATTTAAGAGTGAGTTTAGGTTAATATAAATTGGAGGTCTCGGACCATTGAAGGCCTCTGGGTCTTTATATTTGCTATTCTCTTTGCATGAACTGTCATTCCTTGCTCCCTGCCCTTTTACCTGGTTAAACTGTACTCACCCTTAGATCTCAGCTTAAATATCATTTTGTCTAGGATACTTTTCCTAACCTCTGGGATCAGATTGGGTTCCCCTGATGACTCATCTCAAGCATTCTGTACCTTCTTATCATTATGCTTATAGCTGTTTATTACTTAATTGTCTAAATGGCCAGCTAGGCTGAAAGCTCTGTGAGGGCAGGACAGTATTTGTTTCATAATCAGTGTCCTGGCACATAAGAGATGCTTAATAAATATTTGTTGAATAAACAAAAGGAAAGCAAAATATTAATGAAAATTATGAAGCCTTAAATAGGGTTCATGAGCTTAAGACAAGAAAAAGCCAATGAAGACATTTTTACCTGAGCATTCGGTGTAGTTTATGAGGTGTCATCCCACATCCATCATCGGTAAAGGTCAAACAAGATTTATTCTTGACCTCCTCAACATCTATAAAGACCGTCCTGGCAGATACATCTGGATCTACAGCATTATCTGCAAAAGGTAAAAATCTGTGATATTAGATCCCCTTTTCCAATATTGTATCAAAATCTCTAGTTCAGTGACTCCAAGACATAGAAAATGTCCTTTCTTTCCCTCATTTGGATGTTCGAGAAGGTATCAGGGAGCATTAATGGTACTGCACTCACTAAATTACAGAGAACAAAAGAGATGATGGCAGATTGAGTTCTAAAGCTGATTTCCAGATTTCACATGAGCGATCTGCAATCTGCCTTTCCACTTCAAACTTCAGGGTCTTTGGAAAAAAGTATTAATAACTACTCCCATATAAAAAGCATTTTGCTCCATTTTTGTCTTATTACTTCTTCTTGCCTTTTAGCCCCTTTACTGTTTATATACACATACAGTAAAGAGTGGTTACGGAGAAAAGCTGAATGAGCAATTTTGGTAAAAGATGATGCATATTACACACATTACAGTTTATTTGTGATCATTTTATTTTCTTCTTTCTTACATCACCTCCTCTGTTAAAGAACACAGATAGTACTGCCATTCCTGTTTATAGCCTAAGAGGCACTGAAAGGGTTAGAGTTTAAAACCAACAGCCTTAATTGCCTGCCTAGATCTCAGTGATGGTAGCAAGCATACTCAAAAGGAGTGATTTTTGCTTAGGTATTTTGTAATAGTTTTAAAGGCAAGGCTGTCCATCCTCTCAGGAAATGGAGAACATAGAATCAAAGTAGAAAAAATACATAGGTTCACGATTCCTCCTGATTTATGTCTTCACAATGAGTTAATTATTTAAGACTCCAGGCCAGGCGTGGTGGCTCACGCCTGTAATCCCAGCACTTTGGGAGGCCAAGGCGGGCGGATCACAAGGTCAAGAGATCAAGACCATCCTGGCTAACACGGTGAAACCCCGTCTCTACTAAAAATACAAAAATTTAGCCAGGCATGGTGGCAGGAGCCTGTAGTCCCAGCTACTCGGGAAGCTGAGGCAGGAGAACGGCGTGAACCTGGGAGGTGGAGCTGGCAGTGAGCCGAGATCGCGCCACGGCACTCTAACCTGGGCAACAGAGCGAGACTTCATCTCAAACAAACAAACAAACAAACAACAAAAAAAAAGACTCCAAAGACATCAAAAATTGCCATAGTCTAACAATTGTGTCACATTCACAACCCCAGGGGTGCCACTGTCTAGTTGCCACATGTTTTTACCACAGGTACCAGTTTACATAATTGTCAATCACCGACAAATGTGGCTCACTGGCCACAACTGAGGGGCAGTTTATACAATCTGTTGGATAGGTTCCTTAATCGTTCCTGTCTCTACTAAGCTCTTTGAGCAAGACAGAGTCCTTGCCTTCCACTCTCTTCCCTTTCCCTGGTATCCTATACTGCTTTAGTGATACCAAAAAGCTAAGCTGAGACAGCCAGGTCAAGTCCTGGCCATATACTTGTTCCATTACCACTGATCAAATCATGTCATTTTTTCCCGGGAACACCCCTTACAATCAAGAGAAGTATTACAAATATGCAAAACACCCATTTTTTTAAATAATACAATTAACAATATCAGTTACAGCCACTTGGATATGTGGAATGTTCATTAAATAAAACAAAATACAGATTAATTTCAAGGGCCACAATGGTATTGCCAGAGTCACTGATAAAACTGTCACTGACTGTAAGTGGAAAAAGTCTTAATAGCAGTAGGGCATCACCAATAGTCCCAGAAGGGGATTAAGAGGCCTGGTATAGTCAATCTTTTTTTTTTTTTTTTATTCACAAGGCCCTAAGGGAAAGTTTATTTCATATGAGTAGCAGCCACTTTTTTTGTTTTTATTATTTTTTTAATTCACATAATAGTTGTACATATTTATAGAATACAATGTGATGTTTTGATACACTTTTACAATGTGTAATGATCAAATCAGGATAATTAGCATATTCAATACCTCAAACATTTATCACTTCTTTTGTTGGGAATATTCAAAATCTATTCTTCTAGCTATTTGAAAATATACAGTTAATTGTTATTAATTATAGCCATTCTACAGTGCTATAAAACACTAGAACTTATTTATTTTATCTTAGTTGTAATTCTGTAGTCATTAACCAACCTCTAGCTATACCCCCTCCCACTCTTCCCAGCCTTTATTAACTACTCTCTACTTCTAAGCTTATTGCAATAACCTCCTAACTACTTTTTTTTTTTTTTTTTGAGGTGGAATCTGGCTCTGTCGCCCAGGCTGGAGTGCAGTGGTGCAATCTCGGCTCACTGCAAGCTCTTCCTCCTGGGTTCATGCCATTCTCCTGCCTCAGCCTCCCGAGTAGCTGGGACTACAGGTGCCCGCCACCACGCCCGGCTAATATTTTGTATTTTCAGTAGAGATGGGGTTTCACCGTGTTAGCCAGGATGGTCTTGATCTCCTGACTCCGTGATCCGCCTGCCTCGGCCTCCCAAAGTGCTGGGATTACAGACGTGAGCCACCGCGCCCGGCCCTAACTACGCTTATAAATCCATATATCTCCCTTTCAATTTTATACACTGCTGAAGATTAACTTTCCTGAAGCACAGCTCTGATCATGACATTCCTCTGCTCAGAAAACTTCAGGCTAAAAAGCCAAACACCGGAGCCTTCCAGTCAAAACCTGATCCCAGATGACCTTTTTAACCTCATTCCCTACTGGGTATTTCCAGTAAAAAGACCTGTGTTTGCATCCTGGATCTGCTACTTAGTACTTTTTTAGTTTCCACATAGAAGTTAGAACATTCCACATAGTTTGCCTTCTGTGCCTGGCTTATTTCATTTAACATAATGTCCTTCAAGTTTATCCATGTTGCTCCAAATGACAATATTTCCTTCTTTTTATGGCTAAGCAGTATTCCATTGTGTCTATATACCACATTTTCTTTATCCATTCTTCTGTTGATGGATGATATAGTCAAGCTTTAAGGACCAGGTGGGGGGCCTAGGGCCCATATAATGTGGCAAGACAAGTGGGCTAAGTTTTGGCAGGAGTTACAAGTCTGTCATGTAATGGCGGCTTTATCAGAAATGTAGTTCTTTACTTTGTAAGAGGCAGCAGTATTTTTCTTTAACTGACTAAAGGATTCAGCATTACTTAGCTGCCTACACTGTTTCAAGAACCTTTACTCGGCAAGCAGGCCATGAATTGTGTTGGGACTGATCAGACACTCCTGCTGGCAGACAACCAAAGGCACTGTGACTGACGATACAACTTGCCAACCAACTGGACATCATTTATACACTGAAAACTCTGGACATAGATGAATTTTTTTCTAACAATTTGTGAACATTCACGATTCAAACACGTAACACCTATCTACTGCAACTACATGTTTACCCAACGGTGCATTCAACGAATCAGCTCAAAGGCCTCTCACAATATCACCTCAATTCTTTTCCTCTTTACTGCAATTTTGCCCAAACTTTACTAGGTCCTTTTTTTTTTTTTTTTTTTTTTTACAGGAACACACCAAATAGTTTTAACACAGGCACTTCAGGAGTTACAAGGTAGCTGCCAGGAGCAGCTCAACATTTTATCTCCTTGGCTGGAAGCTCATGGAATACAAGGGGGAGGGGGCATGCAAGAGGCCAGGGTCAGCTGGAGCAGTAGGGAAAGAGAGATCAGTAGAGAGGCACCAGCAAGCACGGTTTTGTACTTACTTTCAGTTTTACATGGCCTTTCATTCGGTCTCAGCAAATGAAATTACAATAATAACAAGGCTGGCCTCAATAAATGAACTTATGATAACAAGGCACCGATCTGGAGGCTGGTTTCAATCCTACTTCTTGCTGCTTAACCCTCCAAACATTTACTAATACATGGCAAATGCTATTGGATCCCAGAAAATCTATCTTCTCTCCTAACCCGGCCCATCCAGCCAATGAACAGGTAGCGCAATGAAAGAACCCTTACTCCTCTCTCCCTGCCCACCAGTTAGGTGAGAATTGTGCTATCAGATGCTGGAGTGTCTTCATTCCCTAACCTGGCCACACAATCCCATGTGCTACCAAATCACAAGGAGTTTTCTCTCTGCTAACTTAGCTCATGCTATCCCTTGGTGGGAGGACCCCTTCTCTACCTTCCCCTTGCTCTCTATCTCATCAGAATCTAGGAGGCAATGAGAAACTATTCCATGACAGCCTCCCAGGAGAGATAAGATGGCAAGTGGGAGATGGCTTTGAGGTAGTGCTTCACAAGCCTCTCATCCTTTTCTGTTTCATAGCATCACAAGGCTCCCATCCTCCCCTGTTCCAGAAGAATGGCCTACAGGTGGCTATATGAAAGATTGCCAAGGGTGGAGCTACTGTCCTACAGAAATCCTACAGGTATCTAAAAGTATTCCTGCCTAAAGGTAAAGTCATCACCTTTTGTCACAAGCCTATTCTTCCTTTGTTACAAACACACACAAGGTTAGCACTGAAGAGACCACAAATTTGAAATTTAAGTACTTTTCTTATCCATCCCTCTCCTTTACCCTATACATCCCTAGACTCTCTCATATCCTATTTACTCTATTTCCATTGTCAGTGTCTTACAAAGTTTATTTCCCCTCATCTGGATTATTGCAATAACCTCCTAACTAGTCATATAAATCTGTATCTCTCTCTCCTTCAATTTTATACACTGCTGCAAGATTGACTTTCCTGATACACAGCTCTGATCATGACATTCCCCTGCTCAGAAAACTTCAGGCTAAAAAGCAAAATACTGAAGCCTCCCAGTCACATCCTGATTCCAGATGACCTTTATAACCTCATCCTTACTTAGTATCTGGAGTAAAAAGGCCTGTGTTTGAGTCCTGGATCTGCTATTTAGTATACACGTAACCTTGGAAAAGTCAATTAAATTTTCTGAACCTCTTTTTCTTCATCTGCAGGATGAAAGTAAATGTTTACCTCAAAGGGTAATGTTAAAAAGTTATTTGTGAAAGCTGTTTGTAAACTTTTTAAGTACCTATCATTTTTACTATTTGTGAACCCCATGCTCTAATTAA